ACAGCGGGGATACAGTGACACAGCGGGGATACACAGTGACACAGCGGGGATACAGTGACACAGTGATACAGCGGGGATGCAGAGTGACACAGCGGGAAGCGGGAACATACTGACACAGTGACACAGCGAGGAGGTGAAGGGAACTGTAAAGTGAAGTGGTGCCAGAAGTACAGTATAACATTCGGACTTCAGAGACATAATAAGAATAACAGAGCGAGCGAACTCTAAAACGGCTTCACGACACCTTACAAATGGTCGGGCTGCCGCATTAGCCCGACAAAATAGTAAAAACAGAGTCATTTTCTGGGCTTCTAAGTGGATGGAATCGAGAACCCAGCTCTGTGAAAAATCATTAGATGATGTTCAATGGGTTGCTCTGACCAATTAAGTTGAATCTCAACATAGCTGCTTCTTTGTGCAACATTCAGTGAAACCTTCATCAGACAGGGGGTGTGTTTGGTGTACTGCAGAAGAGACGCAGTCGCGGCCTATAGGGCTATCCTGTCGGCGGACCCTGCCACCCGTAGTGGAGCCACCCGTTCACGAAACACGACACATGCGCGGTGAGGGTATAATTATGTGATAATCATTTATTTTGAAATATATTTTTATACTTTAAACGTTTACCGAAACACCATTCCGTTAAATTTACATCGACGACTGTTCCGGGGGTAGAATATGCCAGCTCCCCCCCACTGCGTTTGGCAGATCGACTGCAGCGGTGGGCAGGCGCCGTCCAGCCCGTCGAGGTGAAGTCCGCCTGATTGAGTCCGCAGAGCCCATAGGTCGATTATATGTATTTTCTTCTTGTGGGTGGGTTCGGAAAAGGCACCCGGATTCTTCACGCTTTGCTCTCCTATATGTAACTGCATTAACAATTCCACACAGGTTCATTGTTACTATATAAATATACTGCTAGTATACTGCTCTTTATGCTCACTTAGGTACTTGCAATAAAATAACAAATGGTCATTTACTTGCGGCTTGTTTAGGTGCAGCAGCTTTTGACGCTCACAACAAACACTGCTCACGCACGGCCCCGGCACGGTACACTCGGGGGCAGATTGATGTTCTACAACTCTTTATCCACCGGGTTCCTATGGCTCAGCATTGGCAGCAGCCGCCTGGTACCGGTAGACTGTGCCGCTTCACTTACTTGTCAAGCGGCACAGCCTACCCACCCGTATGACACCGGTCTGGGTCGGTGGCTGGAAGGTGATGTGGGCCGCCTGTGACGTCAGCGCAGCGGTGAGGGCCGAGCCCGGAGGCATGGCTCGGGTCGGCGCGGCGCGGCGGCTGGCGAGGGCTGGGGAGTGAGGTGGGGTGGGAGCACGGACATCGCGCGGCTGAGCGAGTGTAGTTAACTTTCGCGTCTCAAGGCGCCAATTATTCTACCTAACAATTGTGCTAAAGCAGTTGTTAAAATGTGAAATGTCCTATCCCCAAGACAGCGCCTAGCATCATACTTGCAATGCACATTACGACACACTTAAGCGTGGCAATGGGACAGCCGATAGAACTTATGTCACTCGTGCATCGAGGTGCGGAGCTATATTTTGTATAACATATTAGTATTAAGGCCTTGATTGAGCAGATTGGTGTCTATTGTTTCGCACGGCAATCGTCCAGAGACGTGGGAACTGGGGGTTATGAGTAGTGCCGCAGCCAACGCCCCAATTTAAAGCGATTATTACTGTTGTGTTGCTCTAATATGTGGTCGCAGCCCCCAATAGCAAACCGTTCCAACTAGGAGCCAAAAAGTCGGCCACTCAGGGGGGTTCGAAGCGGGCTTCTCCCACCGGCCAATTCACGACACGAGCGTTCATCCACTGAGCTACCGAGAATGGTCCTCATCTGCACAACACAAAATGACATTCACCCGCTGACCGCCAATGACAGTATTGTGACATTTGATCGCGTTTGACCGCGGCGGGTGGTCGCTGGTTTCGGCAGCTCAGTGGATACACGCTAGCGTCGTAGGGTGACCGGTTGGAGAAACCCGGTTCGAACCGTCCCAGGTGCACGACTTATTTGTTCCTAGATGGACCGGTTTGCTATTGGTGGCTGCGACCACACATTAGAGGAACAGTAAGAGTTGCTTAAAGTTGGGACGCCGCGCTATCCAAAAACCCCAGTTCCCACGTCTCTGGGCGATTGCTGTGCGAAATAATAGACACCAATGATTTATTTTACTTACTTATTTATTTTAATTAAATTTTATTTCTACACTTGTCACCTCGGAACTGGCCTCTGTGGGCTGTCCGACAACAAGTCTTGCTTAGTTGGACGGCCCTGCAGGGGTTCAGTAACTGATCCTGCTCGAATTTGACCAGAAAGATCACCTTCAACCATCCACTTTATTTGTATGACTGCTCCCCCTCTATCACCTTCCTCCCACTAACATTACCCTGTATGAGTGTATATCTGTGGGCGTTTCAGGGGTGTAGGAGGGCAGTCACTAACTGTTTGCAGTTGTGACCACTTTGCTTCTCTTATGTTAACATATTAACAGCATGCTCACTCCACAGCTATTTGCTTTCTTTTGTTTTTTTTTCCTTACTCTTAGCAGGGAGTGCCGCGACTTGTCATATTAAGTTTGGTCTGGTGTTAACGTAAGGTTCTGTGTGTCGCTGGGATAGAGGGAGGGCGCACTCCTGGTCACCTATTCATGGGTGGCGGCGTAGAAAAAAAAATGAGCTCAATCAAGGCCTTAACACTTATCTGTTAAAAACAATGTAGCTCCGCAACTCGATGCACGTGTGATATAAATTCTATCGGCTGTCCCAATGCCACGTTTAAGTGTGCCGTAATGTGCATGGCAAGTATGATGATAGGCGCTGTCTTGGGTATAGGACATTTCACATTTTAACAACTGCTTTAGCACAATTGTTAGGTAGAATAATTGGCGCCTTGAGACGCGAAAGTTAACTACACTCGCTCAGCCGCGCGATGGTCCGTGCTCCCACCCCACCTCACTCCCCAGCCCTCGCCAGCCGCCGCGCCGCGCCGACCCGAGCCATGCCTCCGGGCTCGGCCCTCACCGTTGCGCTGACGTCACAGGCGGCCCACATCGCCTTCCAGCCACCGACCCAGACCGGTGGCATACGGTGTGGGTAGGCTGTGCCGCTTGACAAGTAAGTGAAGCGGCACAGTCTACCGGTACCAGGCGGCTGCTGCCAATGCTGAGCCATAGGAACCCGGTGGATAAAGAGTTGTAGAACATCAATCTGCCCCCGAGTGTACCTATGCTGTGTACTCCCGGCCCTCTTATTGATAGGAGCTAGCACCCTGGCACTCTCTTGGTCGGAGCTAACACCTCGGCCCTCTATTGATCAGAGCCAACAGCCCTCTTTTGATCAGACCAGCATGCCCTTTGTTGATCAGAGCTAACACCATCAGCTCTCATCAGAGTGGTGAGGTGTATTACACGGTGTATATCAGATTGTCGATATTGGTGACTTTGTGACAAGTGACCGGTGATAGATTGTCATGTCATTTTTTTTGCGAAGTCTCTGATCTTGCGAAGTCTCTGATCTCCATTATGCCCGCATCGTCAATGGGATTAAACTGAGCTCTGCTATTCGGGAAAAAATCATACGAAACACTCAAGCATCGGGTAGCAATATAATGACACATCGAATCGGATAATTGTACCCATTACCTCTCTTTACTTATCCCTGAGGTCATCTAGGTCCCGTAGCCAGTTCCGTGTGTAACGGCGGCCGGTTTTATCGTGCTGGGTCGGGCTCGGCCGACGTGTGTTTGACCCGCGAAGAAAAGACGTTGAACTGAGAGTTATATTTTCTTGTATTTTCTTGTCGACAGCAGAGCAGAGCGAAGATCAGGTTGAAGAGCAGTAAACAGTCACTGGGCCACTGGTCACAAGAGTTGAGTTTCACTGTAAGTGCACAGTTTGAGAGCCAGCCGGAGACTGCCTCTGCACTCCCGGGAATGTCCCGGGCTAGCCTCGGGCATCCCACGCCCTACGATCCTAGTGGTTAGCGATGGACGGAAATAAAACGTTACAGTACGCTAGTGGCTAGAAAAATGGGTACTGGGCGGAGTTTACACCGATGTACTGCCCGAGGCGCACCTGGCATTAGCTAAATGTGACTAAATATGATGGACAAGTACCGGTACATCTAAGTAGCCTTAGATGTACCGGTATGTAAACGGTACATCTAAGGCTTTGCACAGTAACCGCCGGAGTCGAGATAGTTGAATAGCGCGCGCCGCTAAATCCTCCTAAGACGGGCATGCGTGGCATCGTGACTGACGTGCCTTGGGCGGCGGCGCGGCACGCGGGGTTGGCGCAGCTCAACCGGAGCTCGGGAGAGCCGGCAAAGTCGGCAAAGTCGGCCCCGCGCGGCCGGCGCTGAACGAGAGACATGGCAATGCGATATGAAAACGAAAAGAGGCGGTAACATAATCATTGACATTACAAGCGGATGAAGACGGTAAAATCAAAGTGGGTGTTACACGTCGCTCAGTCGGTGGAGCGTTGGACTTCGCGTGGTGAGAGCACGCTTTCCCGGTTATAACAGTCCGGGTTCGAAGCGCAACCGACGCTTGACGTTTATGGACCTCCCGACAGGTATGGCTGCGGTTAGTGGCAGGCCGTAGCCAGTCGAAGTCAATGAGGGGACCGGCGGCGCGCGGCTATGTGCACACGTTAAACTTTGGACTCCAAATTCTGCCATAGAGCTGGAATTGCGCGATCGGAGGGTAGAGGGCAGGGGCAACACAAGCAACAAGCTTCGCTTAGCGGGAGCTCTGTCCTTGTGAATCCTTCCAATCAGAAGATTCGGACTAAATTTATAAAAAAAATCTAATGTTATGAAAGGTCTCCACTTCCAGCACTTATTTAGAATAACTTTTGATCAATGCATGCTAGAGCAATGCAACCCTTGGGATATAATCAGCTCAACCACACATTTGAATGATGTGTATTGTGTATTTGTCCGTGTGAACTGTCGAACTGCCATTCGAAATAGCTGTTGTAACAATCCTCTGCATATATTTGGACGCACATATTGTGTACATTCCTCACAAAAATACATTTTGATCACAATACAATTGATGACTATTGGTGGCAAGTCTATGCATTTGCACAATCACATTATGGAAAGGAGCATTCACATTACCAAAATTAATAACAATAGTCAACGCAGTACAAAACTGCTATAGTTTTTACATTCGTGCAGTGCACGTAACAACATCAGACAGAGAGTAACAACTTAACACCACCAGTAACAGGCTGACGGACTACCAGACATTGTCAACTCAACAGACTATCGGGTCTCACAACAACTCATGGAGCAGCCTCAGATTAACAACAATGCGTCACCACAATCCAAGCACGGATTTAAACACAACAGGTCCCCACTTCGCGACAGAGGACGGAGCACAGAGGTAGAGGGAGAGAGGGGGCAGGTCTGGTGTCTGATGGCGTCGCTCGACATTTGGTGACGTCACTCGCACGCTATATAGATGGCCGACTTGTGACTACCGTGGCCGTGCATTGGACGCATCTCCGAGCTGGTCATCTGGAATGACGTCAACATGACGTCAGAAGACAGTTACATACAAGACAGATGTACTTCAGCATTGACTCTGTGACAACTACCCAAATGATCAGTCACCAACGCTGTTACAGCAAAACATATGTAGAGTCACCACCTTTTCAGGCATAGCAACCTTGTTTTGGATGACAGAGTTGTCTGCGGCCAGTATCTTTTGAACCTGTCACGCTTCAACACTCAAGCCATACGCCTGAGCCTACCAGCGAAACATTCAAATTCAATAAAACCAGCCGATTCCAGCGTGTTCAAACTCTGACAGCCTGGCAGCCGCACCAGCCGGCTCATGGCCGTCTGGCGTGGGTAGACTGTGCCGCAATACGGGGCTGTTCTGCGGCACAGCCTACCTGTGCCACAGAGCGCCGAGGCAACAGGCGAGCTGTGTCTGAGTGGGGACGTCTCGTCACGACAGAGAGTTGAAGCTTGGAGACAGCATTGCACCTTTCTGCGGAGCAGGCTGGTAGCTTATCTAGTCGTCATGGTATTTTAAAGCAGTGATTGACAGACATTCGGTGTATGTTTGTTCCCATAGCAAGAGTCGCTATCCATATTACTGATTTACACACACAACTCAGCTTTATTGATTGAATACAGCATGCCTTTGCGCTTAACCCTAGAACGCCTAGGGGGGGGGGGTTGTATCAACCCCCCCTGAGGTTTTTTCGAAGTGCACGCTAGACGGCTTGTCGTAGCGGGCTGAAATTTTCAATACCCTCTGGGGCAACCTTTTGCGCATTTTTTGCCGAAAAAAAATTGATCGGGTCATGTCAGGTCACGGAGTTATGACGTCATAAGAGGTACAGCCTCCGGCCGACAGTTACCAAACGTGTGCGCCGAATCCCTAGGTTTTCTGCCGGTGATACCCACATTGTTTGATGGATCATGATGAAACTTCCCATGCATGTTGGGGCAAGCATTGGCTATCGTGTGGTGCAAGAAAATTGACCGGGTCAGGTCAGGTCACGGAGCTATGACGTCACAAGAGGAACAGCGTCCGGTACTATTTTTGAAAAGCGCCCGAACCACTATTTTGCTAATTCTTGTCACCTCAATGGGAATATGCAGCAATATTAGCTTCTATAGGGAGCAAATGGACCTCCCAAATCCAAAAATACAATCAGATTTCAAAAATTTAAATTTTGATTTTTCGAATTTCTGCCGCCGACTGTGACCTTGCCGACTTCCGGCGCTCCCAACGCGCCATTTTTAGAGCTAGGGAAACGAAATACATACCAAACGATAGAGAATTGATCAAGGAACACGATAGTGAAGGTTTCAAGTCGATATCTCCCACCGTTTTGCCGCAATCGCCGCGGAAAGTTGAAAAAGTTTGATTTTTTTTTCGAAAAATTTGACCTTTGACCGGTCATAAGTAGGTCAAATGTTGACCTAGGACCAAAAAATATACCACCAATCGCGAGATCTCGTTGAGAGCAATCCGTTGGTGTTTTCCGCTAAGCTCTACGACCTTCCGTTTCGAAACGCCAGGGGGGGGGGTCGTAACAACCCCCCCTGGGCCCGATTTCACCAAGTGAATATATTATTGGTGTACTTTGGAAAAGTACACCGACAAAGTACGACGATAATACTATTCGGTTTCGCCACAGGAATATATTCAATACGCCCGCTTTACGTATGTACTTTGAGAGCCACCGGCGCGCATGCATATATCTTTTCTTGTCGGGGACATGCAGTCACTATATTTTTCCGTATTTAAAGTCGACGAGCTTAAATGCTCAGATATACAATATTATGGAAAAAATTTCTAGCTACGCTAATAAGAATTAAATTTGCTGATCATACAAGAGGGAGTACCTAAACAAATATTGCTAATAATGCTCTTGATTTTTGCTGGGAGCATGACATTCCAAAGCCAAAAATGTAAACAATCGGCAGCAAGCCGCGCAGCACAGTTGACGTTACTGGCGTGTGTGGGTTTTATTGGATTTTGAATTGATATTAATTTTTTCTTCCAAGTTACTTCTCATTAGATATTGCTTCAATATTTGTTCACATCTTCTACGGTGGAGTGGCTCAAAGCAAATATAAATAAAATCGAACAAGAAATGGCATTACTTGAGGCACCTATCTTATATCTAACTACCGATCACTGACGATAGCAAGGAGCACGGCCGAATAGCCGACAAGTTATCTGAAATATTACTTGAATCAAGTTTTTAAATAATCGAAGGGTCTACCGACGACTTCAAATATGGAGAATATTTCGGAATCATTCGGCAGACTGAACCTGAACGGAAGCGGGAAGCCGGTGATAAATTGAATCATTTGGCCACAACACAAAAATATGGACATTGGACAGCATATGGGTACTGCAAAGAAATAGCAAAAGTGGGCGATGAAAACGAATGTAAACGAATGCGTTGTGACTTGTGATGCAACATGCTGGGCATGTCAATCAAGGCGTTGCTGGACTGGACTTCAGTCTTTACTCTCGCCCTCGCCAGTTATTTACTTCCTCTTCGGTAAAACGCTGTATAAAGAGCACGGTGTAATAATCACGGTGAGAAAGATTTGAAACGCTTTTGGCCTTTTGTGTTATCAAAATACAATGTGAACTGTCGTTTTTTTTAAGTGGAAAACTCAATGTAATCGGGAATGCGAATGAAAAAAGGAATTCCCTGTTGTGTTTCTGCATGATGGGGTGATTTTAACCCGCGCCCCGTTGGGCTCTGCCGAGCAACGCGCCCGGTTGGGGGGGGGGGCATTTTGGCCCCCCCCTAAGATCTCGAGAACCACGCAACATAGCGACAAGCGGTAAACGGCGTTGGATAGCCCCAACAGGGAACTACCTTGTGACCCAATTTTATTGACCTAGGTCAAACCGATGACGTCACAGGTCAGGTCAAAGGTCCAATTTTCACCGTTTACAGGCATTTCAAGAAATGCGTTGTAAAATCGAGTAAAATGCATTTCATTGAAAATCATCGATGGGGAAATGTTCTTCAAACACATATTTTGCTATTTGAGGTCACTGATACCAGGTCAGGTCACAGAGGTCAGGTCACGGGGCCGGGGGGTCTCAATATGAAAGTGTCGTGTGATACATGTTTTATGGTCCATTTTACATGACAAATGCGATTATGTGGGTCAGGCAGCCTTTGGGGCCAGCTTTGGTCACGTTTTGGTAAAGGTCAGGTCAAGGTCAGGTCAATGTCAGGTCAAATTAGGTCAAATTTCAAAGTTAATATTTTTGCATAAAATGGGTATCGAATCGATGCAGCTCGTCACGGGGAGTTCAATGGTGGTCTTTGTTTTGCCGTACGTAGTCTAGAATCGCTAAAAATTGAGTTCAAAAATTTGACGTCATCATTTTTGAACAGTTTTTTCGCTATACCTTGGCCAAAAAACGAGATATCGATCTGAAATTTGGTATGTATATAGAAGAGCGCTAGGACTATCACAAATATTCCGGTTTTTTCGAAATTCGGAAAAATTTTGGATTTTTTTAAAGTTTTTCTAAAAAAATTAATTTTTTGAATTTTTTTGGTCAAAAACCAAAAATTTTGAAAATCCAAGATAGCAGTTTTGTAGCGCCGCTTTTTTCTACTAGACCATATAAAGAACTTTGAAATTGCTTGATAACTGTATATTTGGTGAGCGTTTCAAGATTGCATGTTTTTTGCTCATTTTCGCTCGAACATGACCTCAGTTTGACCTCAATAACTCCTGACCTAAGGTGACCTAAGACTTGAAATTTGGTGTGAAGGTGTCAAATTGATGCCCGGGAAGGTACTGAAAATTTGGCGGCGCTGCGCGCCGCCGTTTTCTTGCTATTTAGGAAAAACCACAGGGGGGGCCAAAAATGCCCCCCCCCCAACGGGGCGAGGGTTAATCGCAGTGATGCCACGATGAGATAAGCCTTATAAGAATAGCTGTTCTGGGGTTTAATTTCAATATAAGCCCTGACACACGATACCCTATATATCCAGCAAGAAATAACCATTATGACATCAAAAACTTTTTGCGTAGCCTGTGGCATGTTTTTATCATACGTTGCATCGACGAAGTCATTAAATTTGTAACATTATCATACAAAAAATTGATGTATGCCAAGCTGTTTCTCAAAGTATGCCACAAAAAGTAGCATACTTTCAATGCCAGCAAACTCGGCAAACAGCTGTTGAAAAAGCAGATCGGCGTACCAGAGGTACCTCAAATGTAATGGTATGCCAGAAAACGACGGACTTATGCAGTCATACTTTGTCTTTGTCTTGAATAAGTATCCCTGTACGGAGTTTGGTGAAACTGAATATTAGAGTTCAGTGGTCATAATATGCCAAAAGTGAATATGTACGCCGCCGTAATGGAATATATTCACTTGGTTAAATCGGGCCCTGGTCGTTCGTGTTATCCCGCGCCGGCCCGATTTCACCAAGTGAATATATTCCATTACGGCGGCGTACATATTCACTTTTGGCATATTATGACATATTCAGTTTCACCAAACTCCGTACAGGGATACTTATTCAAGACAAAGACAAAGTATGACTGCAGAAGTCCGTCGTTTTTTGGCATACTATTACGTTTGAGGTACTTCTGGTACGCCGATCTGCTTTTTCAACAGCTGTTTGCCGAGTTTGCTGGCATTGAAAGTATGCTACTTTTTGTGGCATACTTTGAGAAACAGCTTGGCATACATCAATTTTTTTGTATGATAATGTTACAAATTTAATGACTTCATCGATGCAACGTATGATAAAAACATGCCACTGGCTACGCAAAAAGTTTTAGAGGTCATAATGGTTATTTCTTGCTGGATATATAGGGTATCGTGTGTCAGGGCTTATATTGAAATTAAACCCCAAAACAGCTATTTTTATAAGGCTTATCTCATCGTGGCATCACTGCGATTAAAATCACCCCATCATGCAGAAACACAACAGGGAATTCCCTTTTTCATTCGCATTCCCGATTACATTATTGAGTTTTCCACTTCCAAAAAACGA